TCAAAGTTTTTGTTTTAAAAAACTTAAACAAAACATCAGCGGACTGTGAAGACTAGAATAATTTTCTAATTAAAATATCAAATCCTGATTAATTATTTAATTAAATTAATAAATCCGGAAAAGTTATCCAATTAAAATGATAAATTCTGCCGCATGCAGTTATCTTGTCAGGCTGTTCAATCGGTGCTTTGAGGAGCAGTACGTAACTCGAGCTTTGAAATTTTCCGCTAATACCGTTTTTTAAGAGTAATATCGTTTTTTAAGAGTGGAAAGAAAGATAACTGGAAACTGTTGAGCAGTCTCTCTTATGCCGGTGATTAGTGGAGTGCTTGAAAAATTAATCTGTTACAGAATGAAAATTTTTGTCTGACCACAAAAAGTTTTGTCTCCAAATCATTTTGGATTCCAATCATAAAAATTAACAGTAGATGCAGTTTTGGATGTTATTGAGATCATTTCGAAAAGTTTATCAGCTAAAGATGATCTCGCATCTTTCTTTAATGATATCTCCAAAGCATTTGATATCGTTGATCTTTACATTCTTGAAAATTGTTGTCGATATGGCTTTAGCCATTCATTTCATGGAATTCTGAAGTCATATCTTGAAAACAGATAATAATATGTTGATATTGAAACACAGTTATCATAGAAAAGTTCTATAGTGTGCGAGATGCCCCAAGGTTTGGTGCTTAGGCCCTTACTTTTTCTGCTTTTTCTGGATCTTCCGGAAGTACCAATTATAAGATAACCATTTTCGCAGATGACACAACCTTGTTTGGAGCTGTTAGAGATGAAGGTAAATAAATCTCCGACGAATTAAAGCGCATTTTGTTGTGGATGGGGAGCAATATTCTTACAATAAACGAAGGTAAAATTAAAATTCTTCAATTCAGGTCAAAACTAAACTGGAAAATATAATTCAACGAAAGTATTAGTTCTAACAAATGAAATTAAATTCCAAGGTTTACATTAGACTACTCTCAAATACAAACAACTTATAAGTCACGTGATAAATCGATTGTCTTTACACACCGGCAAAATCTATAAAATTTATCTCTTAAACTGTTTTTGAGTGAGAAGTATCATTTAAAATTATATAAGCCTTACATTCAAACAGTTTTAGATTATGGAGTGCTGTTATATGGTCTGGGAAAGAAAATTGATTTGAAACCAATGAACTACCAATGAATTCAGAAACCGTAAAAACAGTGAATGAGTCAATGGTCGTTCAGAAAACATGCGATCACGAAAGTTTATGTTTAAAAAAACAAGCAAACTATCAGCGGCCTGTGAAGGATAGAATAATTTTCTATTTAAAATAATAAATCCTGAATATTTATCGAATTAAATTAATAAATCCTGAAAAGTTATCCAATTAAAATGATCAATTCTGCTGCATGCACTTATCTTGCCAGGGTGTTCAATCGGTGCTTTGAGGAGAAGTACTCAACTCGAGCTTTGAAATTTGCTACTAATACCGTTTTTTAAGAGTTATACCGTTTTTTAAGAGTGGAAAAAAAGATAACTGTGGAAACTGCAGAGCAGTCTCTTTCTTGCCGGTGATTAGTGAAGTGCTTGAAAATTAACCTGTTACAAAATGAAAATTTTTGTCTTATCCCGAAAATTTGGACAACAAATCAATTTGGATATCAATCAGAAAAATCAACAGTAGATGCAGTTTTGGATGTTTTTGAGATCATTTCGAAAATTTTATCAGCTAAAGATTATGTCGCATCTTCCTTTATGATATCTTCAAAGCATTTGATACCGTTGATCACTCCATTCTTGAAAATTGTTGTCGATATGGCTTTAGCAATTCATTTCATGGAATTCTGAAGTCATATCTTGAGAACAGATAATATTTTGATATTGAAAAACAGTTATCATAGAAACGTTCGATAGTGTGTGGGATGCACCAAGGTTTGGTGCTTAGGCCCTTACTTTTTCTGCTTTTCTGGATCTTCCCGAAGTACCAATTATAAAATAACTTTTTTCGCAGATGACTCAACATTGTTTGGAGCTGTTAGCGATGAAGGTAAAAAATCTCCGACGAATTCAAGCGCATTTTGTTGTGGATGGAGAGCAATAATCTTACAATAAACGAAGGTAAAAGTAAAATTCTTCAATTCAGGTCAAAACTAAACTGGAAAATAAAATTCAACAAAAGTGTTAAAACTAGCAAATGAAATTAAATTCCAAGGGTTACATTAGACTACTCTCAAATACAAACAACATATAAGTCACGTGATAAATCGATTGTCTTTACACACCGGCAAAATTTATAAAATTTATCTCTTAAACTGTTTTTGAGTGAGAAGTACCATTTAAAATTATATAAGCCTTACATTCAAACAGTTTTAGATTATGGAGTGCTGTTATATGGTCTGGGATAGAAAATTGATTTGAAACCAATGAACTACCAATGAATTCAGAAACCGTAAAAACAGTGAATGAGTCAATGGTCGTTCAGAAAACATGCGATCACGAAAGTTTATGTTTTAGAAAACCTGAAAAGCAAAACATCAGCGGACTGTGAAGGCTAGAATAATTTTTAAATTAGAATAATAAATCCTGAATAATAATCGAATCAAATTTTAAAAAATCCTGAAAAAGTATCCAATTAAAATTATAAGTTCTGTCGCATGCAGTTATTTTGTCAGGCTGTTCAATCGTTGCTTTGAGGAGCAATACTTAATTCGAGCTTCGAAAATTGCCCGAGTAATACCGTTTTTTAAAAGTAGAAAGAAAGATAACTGTGGAAACTACAGAGCAGTCTTTCTTATTCGGGTGATCAGTGCAGTGCTTGAAAAATTAATCTGTTACAATGAAAATTTTTGTCTGACACCAAAAAATTTTGGCTCCAAATCATTTTGGATATCAATCAAAAAAATTAACAGTAGATGCAGTTTTGGATGTTATTGAGATCATTTCGAAAAGTTTATCAGCTAAAGTTGATCTCGCATCTTTCTTTAATGATATATCCAAAGCATTTGATACCGTTGATCACTCCATTCTTGGAAAATGTTGTCGATATGGCTTAGGCAACCCATTTCATGGAATTCTGAAGTCATACCTTGAAAACAGATAATAATGTGTTGATATTGAAAAACAGTTATCATAGAAACGTTCGATAGTGTGGGATGCCCCCAGGTTTGGTGCTAAGGCCCTTACTTTTTCTGCTTTTTGTGGATCTTCCTGAAGTAGCAGTTATAAAATAACCTTTTTCGCAGATGACACAACATTGTTTGGAACTGTTAGAGATGAAGGTAAAAAAATGTCAGACGAATTACAGCGCATTTTGTTGTGGATGGAGAGCAATAAGCTTACAAGAAACGAAGGTAGAAGTAATGTCAAAACTAAACTGGAAATTAGGTCAAAACTAAACTGGAAAATAAAATTGAACATTAAAGCATTAGAACTAACAAATGAAATGAAATTGCTAGGGGTTTTATTAGACATTTCTCAAATACAAACAACACATAAATCATTTGATAATTCGATTGTCATAACATACACGCAAAATTTATCTCTACAAACTGTTTTTGATTCAGAAATTGTTTTTAAATTTATTTAAGACTTACATTCAACCAGTGTTACAATATGGAGTGCTGTTATATGGACTGGCAAAAAAAATTGATTTGGAAAACGTTGACATAGCGCAGAACAGAGTTTTACAAATTCTTTTTTACCTAAAAAACGGAAACCCTACGAATAGTGAAAAACTAATGCAAAATATTTACTTGTAGAGAATTTCATTTATATGATTTAATGAAAATATTAGCAAGAGTATTGAGAAAACAACACACTTTTGACAGTATTAACGAGTGTATATGCGCTGATAAGCTTGGGCCCTGTTTTTTGAGACTAATTAGAGCAAAGGACTAAAGACAAAAGCCGATACCTATCAAAACAACAATTAGCTTCAGGATCAGAAAATTTTTAACTTGCTAATAAAAATCGATAAATCAATTTTGGTGGACATAAGGACAGCAAAGACTCAAAAACTTAGGAAAAAATGTTCCATCAGTTTCTGGATATGTATATAATAGATAACAAAGACTTTTTTGGAATTATTCTGGCAAGCGGTTTTTCTTTCTCTCGGTAAATAAACAGTGTTTTGCGGGCTTTTTAAAATTTATTTTATGGGTTACGGCAGGCGTTTTTGTGTGATAAAATAGTAATAAACTTTATGATTTATTGATTAGCATAAATATTTTTGCTCTTGAGGTGTCACTCGACATGCTAAACGCCTTTGATGTTCTCCCAAGTGTTTCCATATACTTGGAAACTAATTTATTATCATTATAGGCGTCAAATGTGATCGTTAATCAAGATGCACCGGATGTCTTCTACTTTCCCTTCACTCGCAAAATGTTGGGATCTATTACAAAGTTTTTTTCCGCCGATTCGAAAAATATGGAGGAACTGTATCGGATGTTTTAGGATGGGTTGAGTGATATAACCAATTGAAGCCTTTTCAGTCGTGATTTGAGCGACCTTAAAAATTTCAAAAATTAGCTCAGTATTGAGAAAAATGGTTTCAAATTTCTGATTTTTTTTTTCAGTTTTGAGCGAATAAAGCGAGTAAGCAGGCTCACAAAAGCTTAATTATGCTTAACTTAAGCTCTGAAAAATTAGTTTTAGGCAAGTAGAATTAGTTTTTAGAGTTTTTTAGCGCCAATTAGGTAACTAAAACCTTACCAAAAAGTTGAATAAATTTTCTGCAATATAACTTGAAATAAAAAAATTTTGATGTTTTTTTTGGTTTTTTTTTGTTTCTTCAATTTTTATCCAGTTTGCTTAAAATACTATGACTGTCGAATAGGCCTCAATTATAGTTACACCTCTGATCCTTTTTATCACACCACGCAAAAAAAATACTAATTTGACGAAAAAACTTTTGTGTAGTATTTTAAAGACTGGTTCGAACATTCTGTGCTACTTGCTACCCTTGTTATCGTTATGTGACTGGTGTGCCAATTTGACTTGTCCGTGTGTAGATGAGTCTGTGGGGCAACAAGTGTGACCTGTCCATCTCGGGTGGGGTGTCCAACTCACAGAAGGAGGACCCCCTCAGCCAGATCGAGTGTCTGGATGAGAACGTGCTGCTGGACGACAGTGCACAAGTGTGGCAACTACTGTCTCAGGTGCAGCGCCTACTTCTTCCCTGTTAACTTATGATCAATCAAACAACATTCTCTTTCTTTGGTTTTCCCATTCAGTCTACTTCTGCATTGCTTAGACCAAATCAGATCGGCTTCCTTTTTTTAGAAGGCGCAACAAACGTATTTTGAAGGCTTATTTAAATTCTGTCCTTCCGTATTTCACTGCTTACCTCTTAAGAGCTATTTTTGCTGTTTTCTTGCTTGTGTTTGTGTTGCAACCACACAAACACAAGCAAGAAAACTGCAAAAATAGCTCTTTAGTGCTGCTTGCCCCTGTATTTCATTTTAGTTTCATGTAAAATAGATAAGAGTTGGAGGAAGTGTGTTGCAGGAGCGAGCGAGTGGAGATAGTGTTGTTTGCGTGGACATAGTTCTGGACAACTCTGGCTATGAGTTGGTGACTGATCTGGTGCTGTGTTATTACCTGTTGAAACAGTGGCCCGACCTTCGTGTCATTCTCCACTGCAAACAGCTTCCCTGGTTTGTTAGTGACGCCACTCTACACGACGTACACGCTACTCTATACCGCATGGCTTCTTCATCAGCATCATCGTCAACGTCACACACACAACTGCAGCAGGTGGCTTCCTATCTGCAACATCAATTGTTCATCACCCATAGACTCTCTCTAAGTGCAGACATGTTCTGGACTCTTCCCTGCAGTATAGAACAGATGCACAAGTATGACCCGTACCTGTTTCGCCAGCTGGAACACAACAGCAATCTGCTACTGTTCAAGGGAGACCTCAACTACCGCAAGATCAGCCAGGACAGAGACTGGATCCCCACCCATACCTTCTCGCCCCCCTTCCCAGTGCCCCTGTGTGCAGTGCGCACTCTCAAGGCAGACACCGTGTTCGGACTGAGTGAGGAGAAAGTGAAATGGGCCACAGATCGAGACACCCGCTGGATGCTGAGTGCCAACTTCGGCGTCATCCACTTCATGCAGCCACACAAACACATTGCAGATAACGAGACCGACGCTACTTGATGTGTTTCAGTTACTCATGTGCAACTGTTTTGCTGTCGTAGTTAGAGTGTCGTCTATATCTCAAGCTCTACCTGACACAGGGGACCGTGTTGTATTCTAGCATCATCTCCACCAAATTGGTCTGGACCTCTCAAAATTGTGAGGGAATTTTGAGCTAACTGAGCGATGCTGGGTCGTTATCGTTTGTCGTCGCTTCGTTATCTAATTTCAACACTCCATCATATATATTCGCTTGATTATCAATCATATCTTGTTAAACAAATTCGAATAAAATTATTCAGGTTATGTGCTCGTGTTGAGGCAAATAGATTACTCTATGCCCGTTGGTTCTGATAAATGGCTTTTCATATTTTCACTAGAAGCTATATTTATGTTGAAGGCTAATTGGAACCTTCGTTTCAGGTTTATAAGTTATTTTACAATTATTTACAACGACTAGCTAGCGAGCGTAATGTTATATTACGAATTCATATATCTGACATGCAAATGAAAGTGTTCACTTGGTGAAATTTTTTTGCAGTTTAGCCTTACAATAGCATAGAAACTTGAATGTCATGCGTTTATTTGCGTTATTGATGGCTAGTATTTGGATAAATTCAAGAGCTTATGGTGCAAATAGAAGGACGTAAGACTCTAACCTACTGGTTGATGGTTTTGTTGTGACACATGTCAAAAGTTTCTTTTGCAAGGCTAAATTTGCGTTTTCGTTCAGAATTTCATTTTTTTCAAGCTTTTTTGCAGTTTTTTTTTGTGTTTGCCAATTGCAGCTTTGTCTCTGCGTTGAAATTGTTAAAAAATTACGCCTGCGTATTGCAAACGTCATCAAATCGGAATATAGACTTTTTAGCCGGTTAACAGCTAATTTAAGAAATCATTTTCAAGGCGTTAATCCGCACTTGTGGATTGGAGGTAACACACATGCCTGCGAATACGAAAATTCTTGTTTCAAAACTGGCCAACACCTGGCTTTTTAAAAGGAAAGTTTTTGTACAAAAAATATTGGTCAGATTATGTTGGGTTGTATGCTTATTAGGCTTAAATTTTTTTTTAAAGTTTCTCCACTTGCAAAAGTAAGTGACTTGTAATTGGGAATAAGACTTGTTTCCCGTTACAACATTTCTTACAAACTCTGCTTATATGATCATCTCTGATGACCTGCTCAGTTTCTTGAAATTTCAAATAAAACTACCTCGTCGACTCATATATAGGTCGTGATGATTTTTTTTCAACAGGTCTTAAACTGTGTTCAGGCTCGGATTTACACTTTGAGAGTAATGAACGTAGTGAAGACTCTTACATAGGTCTTGGTTCTTTTTTTCTAGGGAAAATCTTAAAAAAGTCTCTTATAACTACAGATGTGCATTCATAGGTATTGATGCATTTATGAATGCACTTCGGTATGTATGCACTTTTTGAGTTCAATTGAAATTCATCTGCTGAAAGGGACGTAAATAGCACTCTCTAAAAAGAAGGAACGTGGAAATGGTGCAAAAAACGTGAATGATTTCTAGTTTCGAAAGTGGAATTTAATTTTTAGATTTCCAGAGGAATAAAGACTTACATTTTGATCCAGTTTTCTCTAGTTGGGTTCAAGTTATCAATATCCCGCTAATCATAATTTGTTCCAGAAACTCAAAGATCTCAACGTGTATCTGTTTTTTTCTTTGAAATTCGAAAGTTTATTCGAAAGTCAGTGTTTTTTTAATGTTTACTTGCGTTCATTACTTTTTTCCAATCTTCGATTGGCTATGTTTTGCGATCTGACTTTTGATTTATTTTAAGGTTCACTTCTTTTCCTTTGTTAAAATGAAAGTAAATTCCATTATCGAACAATAAAAATATAAAAGTCACGAAAAACATGATAGCTTTTTATTTCGAAAATGGAAGTTTAGCTTTTTGTTCCCAGCTAAATATAGCTAATGATCCATTTTTCTCAAATTGGGTTAGTTTTATCAAAAAATATCAAAAGACTTGTCTAGAAGTTCATTGAGTTATAAAGCAATCAATTCTTTTTAGAAATTCGAGAGTTCAGATTTTTTCGAAAAAAAACGAAAATTAAACGCGCTTTGAACTATCTCGCCACGATTAAGCTTTTTCAAAGTGTTATTTTGAGCATGCGTACGCTATAGCTTATCTGGAAATATTTAGTCTTGCGAAAGCAAGTGTCTTGTAATCGGGAAATAGACTTTTCTCATATACAATTTTTCTTATAAATCTTACTTGCTTTATTATTAAATCTTAACAAGTTTTTGTGTCGTAAGGTTGGGGTTTGAGTCTCGGTCGTACCTTGTTTTTTTCAGTAGGTTTGAAATTGAACTTGAATTTCGTAGATTTTAGAAGTTCAAGTTTTAGTTTCCTTGTGGTTGATGATTGAAATTTTTCCATTTTTCTGCTGGCTGTTTGAAATTTTAAACGTGCATTTAACTATCTCGCCTTCAATAAGCTTTTGCCTATCTGGTCATTATTTAACTTTCAATTATATATCGACTTGTTTTATTGTACTCATACAATTTTTCAAGTCATTTGCAAGTGTTTGTGCTTAATTAATTTATCAATCAGTCAGGTCTTATTTTCTGTTTTTTTTTTTCGGAAAAGTTAAGAGAAATCAGAAGCGATACGGCGAAAAATCGAATTTAAGCGTCAACTTTTTAAATTCAATTCAAGTTCGTTTGGTTAATGAAAGGCATATTCGCTCTCCTATAATAAAAGTGTAGATTTTGGGACAGAACCCGGATTTATTTGTTACCTATATATGCCGCGTATGGAGAAGGGTACTAGTGTCGATGAATGAAGAAAAAACACGTAATAAGGCCATTGGACATAGGTAAATGGCAGGGCATTTAGTTGTGTAACTACCGAAGTGAAAATTGCGCCATAAGTTTCAAAAGTGGCTAATGAGTTTGAAAACTCCCAGCGGAATATATAAATACCTGATGAAGCATTTGTATCAAATGGACTGTTTATATTGCAAAAATTTTAATCATAGAAAATTTTCCTTTTTCTGTCTTTGTTTATTGACGTGTTATCTGTCTAGTTGCTTTTCGTTTTTCTTGAGTCTCAAGAGCTCCTGGCGGTTTGTTGCTGAGATTTGCTAACTGAAACTTCGCTTCGGTGTCAATAGTTTCTTAATAACTCCTTATTCATGTATATATATTTTTTACTTAGTGTTTTTTTTCATATGCGTTATTATTTTTTCGTTTTGTTAACCGAATAAAGGCTTCATTACGCTGGCGATTAGCGGCCGGGACCTGTTTTTTATGAGCTGAAAATTATCCGCGAGTCAAAAAACCTTTGTCGGACTTCTTTGTCTGCTTTTTTGTTTTACCAAATTTGTCTAAAATTTTGGCTTTTATTACTCAAATTAGAAAATATTTCATTGTATTTGGGTTTTGGACAAGTAATTAAGTTTCAAGAAATTTCGCCGATTTTTTTGCTAATTGATATTTTTGATGCTGTTCATTATACGTTTTTGAATGTTTTTTTTTAAAACTTCAAGTAGTATTCAGTGCTTTTGGTGGAGTGGTAACACCCATGCTTGAGACGACAAATCCCAGAAGTTCGATTCCAGTCCGGACCTGTGTTCCGTGGAAACTGAAACTTTTAGATTATCCTGGAGCTTCATGTCTGCTAATTTTTGTCGGCTTAGGCCGTGCAGAAAGTTTCGGTTTCTTTCAAGCATTTTAAAAGTTCTTAAAAAAGTTTCTAACGGTGAAAGTAATTTTGCCTGCGACTAGCGGATGCCTACGACTAGCAGTGCTCTGTTACCCAATTGGGTTCGTTAACTGTCCCCTCACTGTTTCTGGTGCTTCATTTTAAATTCTCGTTGTATGCATATTTACCATTAACAATGAGAGATAAATTCTTTCTTTCTTTCTTTCTTTTGTTCTAGGAATTTTTTGGTCTTGGTTATGCTTTTTTTAGGTTTTAAAATTTTTGATTTCGTCTCTTCATTAGCTAGTAATCATAGTCATTTATTTTTGTATCGCAAGTGATGCGGGGCTTTGTGCAATTTTTGGAAAAAGTATTCTTAAGTTTTCAGAGTTTTGTTCTTTTCTGGTGAAAGTTTTTGCGTGTTTTTCTTTGCTGTTACCAAGAGAAATTTTGAAGATAATCACTTTCAAGTCCATCGTTAGGCGATTTGTAATTTCAATTCAAATTATTTTGCTAAAAATAAATCAAATTTCGCTCTCTAGTTATGAAAGTGTAGACGAGCAAAAGATATGAGTGATTGACTTTTGTCTCGAATGTGGTTTTTAAGTTTTCGATACCCATCAGTGGAAAAAAAAATACTATTGATCTGGTGTTCTCAAATTTTTGTTTTTATTTTTTTTTAGGAATCAGCTCTTTTTAAAAGGGAGAATAAATACGTCCTTCAATTACAAAACCGCAAATTGCGGATAAAACTCTGACTAGTCTGGAGAACGAAATTTAATTTTCAGAGTTTTCTGCGTAATAAAAAATGATTAGCTATTAGCTTTATTTTCGACTGTTTTTTTTTGTTTTCTGGTAGTATCTTTATCTGTAGTTTTATCAACAGCTTTGTCATGGCCTATCTAGGCCTGCCATGTTGGGCTTAAACAAATCTTCTAGTGTGTTTTTGTTACTTTCAACAAGTGTGTTTACTTCAATCGGGATATTTCCATAAACATTAATTTTTACGATTCTCTAACAAAATGACCTTGTTTTATTATGGAGCCTCAATGTCTTTCATGCGCTTCTCACTTGGTCTAGGTGTTACACACACATTTTCTGGTCTTGAGGTATTAGGGTGGGGTCCCAGGCTGAACTTGAATTTTTTCTGGGAAGCGTGGGAAACGATTTTTTTTGGAAACTTGAACAGTCGGTCCTTTGTTTGTCTGCAAACTTCCAAACCGCTGAATATATTTCATTTGAAGCTTAACTTTCCTTCTCATTTAATCTATTTCATTTATCTGTTAATTGTAAAAATATCCAATTCTGATTTTGTATAATTTCTTTTTTTTTTCGTTTCCTTTTCGTTGAAGTGGTTTTGGCTTATGTTATATCGGTTTAGTTAATTTATTTTGCGTCGTTTAAAAGACAACAAATATTGTGCTGCTTTTTTGTGTGTCAGGAGTAATGGGGCGTAGTTCTTAAACATTTAACCTCAGATTTTTTGGTTTTCAAAAGCTTTTTGGTTTTCGGGTCAAGTGCCTTCTCCCCAATTGCTGACGGGTAAATGATTTTGATTGCTTATTTTTGCTGTGATTGTGTTTTCTGACATGTTTCCTTAAAATGAACATCCTAGGAGACAAACGTTTGGTTTTTATGCAGAACTTTTTTCATCGTTTTTATCCTACTGTTTTTTCGACATAGTGGCTCAAATCCTGTGTTCTGGCCGTTAGCTTGCAATGCTGAGTTTATGTTTTTATCTGATCCACCTCGGTGTAAAATTTGAGACTTGGATCGTTTTATTTTCAGGTTTTGCGGGCTGTCAAGTATGGGGTTAAGATTTGATACTATAAATATGACTACAAATCTTTCAGGCTTCGATATATTGTGATTTTTATAGAAATTTTGAATATAGTGTCCGAAATATTCGTAGTAAATTAAAAATTTACAGGAAATTTGTTGGTTTGCCACGTTTATTTTGTTCAGCAAAGCTGGGAAGTTTGGACTGAAATTTTGAGACTTCGTAGTTTTTAAGGTTTCAAGTGTTTTTAATCTCTTCTAGTGTTTCATGATCAATGAAAATTTTTGTAGCTGCCTTTTTCTAAGGACCTACATAAGATTGTAGTTTAGAACCAGTCTTATAGAAATAAAAAGTTTCTATTTTTTGAGATCCCGATGTTTTCATAAAAATAAATATTGCTCTATAGAAATGTTTAACCCTAACCTCGTGTACTTTTTTTTTATATATAACTTTGTTCATAGGACTCATCTCCTGCATCCTCGCTTCACCAAATTTCTTTTATTACACATGCATAGCTTGTGTTATAGTATGAACTTTTTTTCCAAGCTAAGTCGTGAATATTGTTGCGATGTGTTCATTTTGAAAGTATTAAGTACAGCCAAGATTCAAAATAGACTATTGTATTACAAATAGCACTTTAGCTTCACGGTATCATGGATCTGTAGCGTAGAGGTAGGGAAGGAGACCAGCAACAAAATAAGACGGTTCGAACCTGGGCAGGTTCGGATGTTTTTAACGATTTTTTTGTATATAGTTAAAATGTGTCCGCTCTATAAATTGAGGCTTGTTAGTTGGTGCTTATGCGTCATAATTGCAACTTCGCCTCTTTGTTATAATTGCAAATTCAATCAGCCATCCCGCGCATCTGGCTTAAACGTAACACATCTGTTTGATACGGCAAAGGGTTTGGTTCGAAATCGGTCGGGACCTGTATTTTTTTTGCTAATTTGAGTTTCTGTGCTTTTTCAGATTATCGTACTTTTTATGAAAACATAATTTTTTTTTATTTGATTTTTCTTTTAGTTTGAATTTAATCACAGTCATTCAGTATTATATTGCAAGCTCAGTGTAAAGAATTTTCCTTGAACCTAAATTATTGGTTCTGTTTTTGTATGTATTAAAACATAATCAGATGGAAAATCGGCAGTTATCTTAAAGTGGAAACGAGCTGGATTGCGTGTCGTTTGTGATAGTAATTGCTCTTTCTGTTTGTAGGTCATTGTTGTTGGACTGTGTGTTTCTATGAGTAGTGGATGAAAGATGAAGTGATTTCAGATTGAGCTTGGTACTGAATGAACTCTGTGCCTAATCAGCAACACCCCAACACCCATGCACAGCAGTCATCTGCATCAAATCAACAACAGCAACATATGCAGCAGCAACAGAATGTGGCCGCAGTCGCTGCAGCAGCTGCTGCTCAGTTCTCAGCTGGGCCCCCACCCCACCATCCTCATCACCATCAATTGCTGCAGACATACCACCCCCACCCTCATCTCATGCTGGACACCAACCTCCAACAACAACAACAGCAGCAGACACATCAAAGCAAGGTAGGCTCTCAAGTCAGCCCCTTTTCCTTGAATATTTAGGCGGCTGAAGTTTGAAAACGACAAAAAGTCCACTTGGATAAACTGAACAGAAATTTAAATACCACAAAAATCGATCCCATCAGAGTCTTACTACTATAAAAAATATACCTAAAACTTCAGAAAATATGCCAATTTATAGAGCTCCACAAAAGCTTATTTCGGCACAAAAAGTCGTAGTCTGAAATAACGAAAAATTTATGTCACTTTCAATGTCCGAGAAAATTTTTGGCTCGATTGTGTCATGCTAGTAATGAGAATTGATCTAGAATCGCCCTGTCTGAACTTCGTTTGAAACAATGGCCACTCCCAGCTTCTTTTAGAAAAATATTTTGGCCTTTGAACAAGTGAAAGCGTTAAAACTTTGACCGTTTTATGGAAACTACCCTTTGAAATCTGAAATGAAAAGGGTATTTTTTTTTAAATGAAAAGGTTGCGAGCATTTTCTCTGCAGAAGCGGTGACTCCTTTATTTTTTGCAATATTTCGTTCGTTTTTTTTGAAATAAGCCATTGATCCAGTTTTCTCAGCTATTGTTTTTATAAAGCCAGCAAAATTGATTGTTTTTTTTTTTGAATATTTTTGAGGCTGAAGTACCAAGTATGATTGAAACTTACAGAGCTACTGGCATGCGCTGCTGCCTGCTCTCCTTTAGTTTTGTACCCTGCTTGTTGTTGATGGCTTTACTTCTATGGTCCATTGTTAATCAAGTCTGTTCAGAGTGGTTTCATGGGCTACCAGACGTACCCTTACATGCTGCACCCAACAGCAGTCAGTCAGCATCAGCAGGCCACCGGACTCCAGTTCCCCTCCCCACAGTCGACAAGTGGAGGGGGAGGGAATAGAGGGGGAATGGGGGCTGCAGGCAGCACCAGTGGAAGTAGTAGAAGAGATAAGGCGCAGTACCATCATGGACCAGCCTCACGCATGCAACACAGCCAAGGAGCCAGCAGTCTGAGCATAGGAGAACCACATCACTCTCACAGACCCAAATTCGTTAGTGTCAATGCTCAATAGCATATTCGTCCTTTACTCAATGGTTGTAACATAACAAGTCCAACAGATAACAACATCGACTATAACAAGGATCTAGATAACCCTTAATTATGGCTGCAGTTGAACAAATTAACGCTTAAAAACCATGAGGAGGTTCGCCTTAAATCCAATGCAAATTATAAAATCAGCTCTGTAAAGATTAACAATTTTACCCAGAATCACGATACTTAGCATCAACTGAATTTGGCGAACAGCAGCTCGAGCTCAGCAAAATATGCAGGCATTGTAATTGACGCAAACCTTAATTTCATGGATAATACCTATGTTTTATCGATTAAGATATTATTTTAATCAAAAACACCTTAAAATTGACGAAACGTTTGATAAATCTGTTTATCAGCATGGAGTGTTACTATGGAACGGAAAACAAAACGGATTACTTGAAACTATAAAAACGGCTAAGATCAGTTTGGAACAACTTTTCAAACTGAGGAAACTTGCTAGTATACTTTCTTAAGAGATCAGCACAGGTGATACTATTTAGGAGATTTGGATAATTTTTTACACAGCGAACTTTAGTGAGCGTTAGTGTTGTACTACGACTGTTCTGTTCTTCTAAGCTAAGACTTTTGAGGCACCTTTACGGCTTTTTGTTAGCATGTGATTTGTTTTTTGTGCAGTTTATGGATTCTTTTTTGTTGTGCTCGTATAATTTGATAAGTGTGGATTTCTGTGTAGGTTGATTAAAGTCAATTCAAAAGATGAGATTGGAGATATACTTTTTAGAGTTCGAATATTTTTTCCTGCAACCTATCAATTTTAGTCTGAATTTTTACGCTCTGTAATTAAAGTCGTTTGAATCAGGAAATGGATAGTTCTCCGTTTCAAGTTTCAAAGTTTTAGTTCGCATTTCTCGATTCTGTTCAGTTGAATATCTGTTGTATAATATATGTTTTTTATTCTCGCTAGGGAAATTAAGCTTCGCATTTTCGTTAAGTTTTTTTGGAACTGAATCAGCAGTTGTTATTTGTGATTAATTGAATCCATTCTCTGAATCGGGTAATGGGATTTGCAAGGCAACGTTTTGTTGCTTTATGATCCCTGTACCCGGTGATTTACTGTACAAATTCTGGTGCATATACTACAATTTAACGCGAAATGACATACCAGCGATTTCAGGCTGTACTTTCCACAAATCTTTTCTAAAGCTTCTGGGAATTGGTTTAAGTTGAATGTTAATCGGTTTCTTATCAATCCTTTTGTATCCTGTTTTTTCTGCAGCTTTTGGAATATTTTTTGTTGTTCTCGATTATTTTGAAGTATCGATTTCTGGGTACATTGATTCAAATCTCTTAAAAGTGACTTTTGGAGATATACTAGTCAATATTTTAATTATTTTTTCCTGTAAGCCTATCAATTTTAACCTGTTTTTTATTCGTTCTCTAATTAAGGTCGTTTAAATCAGGAAATGGATATTTCTCCGTTTCAAGTTTCAAAATTTTAGTTCACATTTCTCGATTCTGTTCAGTTGAATTTTTTCTGTTGTATAATAGACGTTTTTTGGTTCTCGCTAGGGAAATTAAGCTTCGCATTTTCCTTCAATTTTTTGGAGCTGAAACTGTTGTTGTTGTTTGTGATGAGCTTAATCCATTCTCTGAATCGGGTAATGGGATCTGCAAGGAAACGTACTGTTGCTTTATGATCCCTGTACCTGGTGATTTACTGTACAAATTCTGGTGCATATACTACAATTTAAAGCGAAATGACATACCAGCGATTTCAGGCTGTACTTTCCACAAATCCTTTCTAAAGCTTCTGGGAATTGGTTTAAGTTGAATGTTACTCGGTTTCTTATCAATCCTTTTGTATCCTGTTTTTTTTTCTGCAGCTTTTGGAATCTTTTTTGTTGTGCTCGGTTATTTTGATGTATCGATTTCTGGGTACATTGATTCAAATCTCTTAAAAGTGACTTTTGGAGATATACTAGTCAATACTTTAAATATTTTTTCCTGTAAGCCTATCAATTTTAACTTGTTTTTATTCGTTCTCTAATTAAGGTCGTTTAAATCAAGAAATGGATATTTCTCCGTTTCAAGTTTCAAAATTTTAGTTCACATTTCTCGATTCTGTTCAGTTGAATTTTTTCTGTTGTATAATAGACGTTTTTTGGTTCTCGCTAGGGAAATTAAGCTTCGCATTTTCCTTAAATTTTTTGGAACTGAATCTATTGTTATTTGTGATGAGCTTAATCCATTCTCTGAATCGGGTAATGGGATCTGCAAGGAAACGTATTGTTGCTTTATGATCCCTGTACCTGGTGATTTACTGTACAAATTCTGGTGCATATACTACAATTTAAAGCGAAATGACATACCGGCGATTTCAGGCTGTACTTTCCACAAATCTTTTCTAAAGCTTCTGGGAATTGGTTTAAGTTGAATGTTACTCGGTTTCTTATCAATCTTTTTGTGTCTTGTTTTTTGTGCAGCTTTTCGAATCTTTTTTGTTGTTCTCGATTATTTTGAAGTATCGATTTCTGGGTACATTGATTCAAATCTCTTAAAAGTGACTTTTGGAGATATACTAGTCAATATTTTAATTATTTTTTCCTGTAAGCCTATCAATTTTAACCTGTTTTTTATTCGTTCTCTAATTAAGGTCGTTTAAATCAGGAAATGGATATTTCTCCGTTTCAAGTTTCAAAATTTTAGTTCACATTTCTCGATTCTGTTCAGTTGAATATTTTCTGTTGTATAATAGACGTTTTTTTGGTTCTCGCTAGGGAAATTAAGCTTCGCATTTTCGTTAAGTTTTTTTGGAACTGAATCAGCAGTTGTTATTTGTGATTAATTTAATCCATTCTCTGAATCGGGTAATGGGATTTGCAAGGCAACGTTTTGTTGCTTTATGATCCCTGTACCTGGTCATTTACTGTACAAATTCTGGTGCATTTACTACAATTTAACGCGAAATGACATACGAGCGATTTCAGGCTGTACTTTCCACAAATCTTTTCTAAAGCTTCTGGGAATTGGTTTAAGTTGAATGTTAATCGGTTTCTTATCAATCCTTTTGTATCCTGTTTTTTCTGCAGCTTTTGGAATATTTTTTGTTGTTCTCGATTATTTTGAAGTATCGATTTCTGGATACATTGATTCAAATCTCTTAAAAGTGACTTTTGGAGGTATACTAGTCAATATTTTAACTATTTTTTCCTGTAAGCCTATCAATTTTAACCTGTTTTTTATTCGTTCTCTAATTAAGGTCGTTTAAATCAGGAAATGGATATTTCTCCGTTTCAAGTTTCAAAATTTTAGTTCACATTTCTCGATTCTGTTCAGTTGAATATTTTCTGTTGTATAATAGACGTTTTTTGGTTCTCGCTAGGGAAATTAAGCTTCGCATTTTCCTTCAATTTTTTGGAGCTGAATCTATTGTTATTTGTGATGAGCTTAATCCATTCTCTGAATCGGGTAATGGGATCTGCAAGGAAACGTACTGTTGCTTTATGATCCCTGTACCTGGTGATTTACTGTACAAATTCTGGTGCATATACTACAATTTAAAGCGAAATGACATACCAGCGATTTCAGGCTGTACTTTCCACAAATCCTTTCTAAAGCTTCTGGGAATTGGTTTAAGTTGAATGTTACTCGGTTTCTTATCAATCCTTTTGTATCCTGTTTTTTTTTCTGCAGCTTTTGGAATCTTTTTTGTTGTGCTCGGTTATTTTGATGTATCGATTTCTGGGTACATTGATTCAAATCTCTTAAAAGTGACTTTTGGAGATATACTAGTCAATATTTTAAATATTTTTTCCTGTAAGCCTATCAATTTTAACCTGTTTTTATTCGTTCTCTAATTAAGGTCGTTTAAATCAGGAAATGGATATTTCTCCGTTTCAAGTTTCAAAATTTTAGTTCACATTTCTCGATTCTGTTCAGTTGAATTTTTTCTGTTGTATAATAGACGTTTTTTGGTTCTCGCTAATGAAATTAAGCTTCGCATTTTCCTTCAATTTTTTTGGAACTGAATCTGTTGTTATTTGTGATGAGCTTAATCCATTCTCTGAATCGGGTAATGGGATCTGCAAGGAAACGTATTGTTGCTTTATGATCCCTGTACCTGGTGATTAACTGTACAAATTCTGGTGCATATACTACAATTTAAAGCGAAATGACATACCAGCGATTTCAGGCTGTACTTTCCACAAATCTTTTCTAAAGCTTCTGGGAATTGGTTTAAGTTGAATGTTACTCGGTTTCTTATCAATCTTTTTGTGTCTTGTTTTTTGTGCAGCTTTTCGAATCTTTTTTGTTGTGTTCGAATAATTTGAAGTATCGATTTCTGGGTACATTGATTCAAATCTCCTAAAAGTGACTTTTGGAGAAATACTATTCAATATTTTTAGTATTTTCTCCTGTAAGCCAATCAATTTTAACTTGTTTCTTATACGTTTTCTAATTAAGGTCGTTTAAATCAGGAAATGGATATTTCTCTGTTTCAAGTTTCAAAATTTTAGTTCACATTTCGCGGTTCTGTTCAGTTGAATATTTTCTGTTGTATAATAGACGTTTTTGGGATTTGCAAGGCAACGGGTAATGGGATTTGCAAGGAAACGTTTTGTTGCTCTGTGATCCCTGTATCTGGTGATTTACTGTACAAAGTCTGATGCACATACTACATTTTAAAGCGAAATGACATACCAGCGATTTCAGGCTGTACTTTCCACAAATCCTTTCTAAAGCTTCTGGGAATTGGTTTAAGTTGAATGTTACTCGGTTTCTTATCAATCCTTTTGTATCCTGTTTTTTTTTCTGCAGCTTTTGGAATCTTTTTTGTTGTGCTCGGTTATTTTGATGTATCGATTTCTGGGTACATTGATTCAAATCTCTTAAAAGTGACTTTTGGAGATATACTAGTCAATATTTTAAATATTTTTTCCTGTAAGCCTATCAATTTTAACCTGTTTTTATTCGTTCTCTAATTAAGGTCGTTTA